CGTAAGTCTATTTTTTGTCGATTTTGCGAGATGCATATCATTAGAAAGAGAATTTTCTCCCGATTCTAATGGTATGCATCTCGCAAAATCGACAAAAAATAGACTTACGACCATTCTCTAGGACGCTGGCGAGATCCGACACTATACGCAACCGCTCCGAGGTACGACCTTATACGCAACCGCTCCGAGGTACGACCTTTTAGTTTTCAGGGGTCGTATTGTCGACCCCAAGACATTCCGGAGACAGTATTCGAAAATGCAGCGTGATACACAGTCCCCCTTTTTTACTTTTGATCATACTGTACCACGTGCAGGCGTGAGGGCGAGTTGCATGCACAGTCAAGTCACAAGCGCCATGATGAGGCCTCGGATGAGGCGCAGTGGTAAGTGACTGTAGGCAAGCATTTTCACACCCCTGCATGCAGTACGGTACAAGCGCAATAAGGAAGGGGTCCGATGATAACCCTGTAAGAAAGAGCCGCGTCGAGGACATCTTAGGGGTGTACTCGAGTCAACACTATTGTCTTGTCAATCAATCCAACTCACTGTAAAAATCATGTTTGTAGGTGTACGGTATATGCTCATCATTTGATAAACAGTGCTTATAAATTTACTATCTTTAATTGTGATTGTACGACATCTTCCATGGAAAATTTTCCTGTACCCTGTATGAAAACATTGAAAAAACTGACGCAATCAAACCAGGAAACGTTTGGTGATGCAACTTGTTTGTGATGGCCCTTTCCTTTTGCATTTAACGCAGAGACAAATGAGGAGACTCCGTGCATGCATTCTTGAGACGCTCAATCAACTAAGCAGCGGTGGGAGAAACGGTGATGTCCAGACCACAAACTAGTAAAACAAAGGTGACATTATCACACCTTTAGAAGGCTTTAAAGTTTGAAAGGCGATAACGTTTTAGTTTTTCCGAAATAACTTCTGCTGAAGCAAATCAAGGTTTTTAGGGCTCATATTATTGCATTCAGATCAAAATCCGCTTCGAACGAGTCTAAATGTGATGTGTCTGAAGAACGGTGAAAGAAGTGACAGACCCTCAGAAATCTACTAAATTTCTTTCATTTCGGATGTAAACCTTATCACAAGTAGGCACGACCTCAGCGGAATTTTGAGCCGAGTGCACTCTCAGCCCGTTACTGACATTTTGCAAATACACGATGAAGTCGCTTATACAGCAGTAGGACTCACATAATTGCACGTAATACTCGCAAATTTAGGAAGTGATACTAACTATTTTGTTAGGAACTACTTAGGAAGATCATCCTAAGTACATGCTAACAAAATAATTAGTATTACTTACTAAATTTGTGAGTATGATGTGCAATTTTGTGAGTATTGCTGCTGAGTAAGCGAGTTCATTGTGTATTTGCAAAATGTCAGTTACTGGCTGAGAGTGTGCGAAATTAAAAGCCCTGCCACATTATTGCGCTCTGGCAGTAAATATTTCAATGAAACTAAAATGTCACGCCTACTTTAATACAACTGCAAAGGTGCTAACGCGCACCTTCGTTTTACCGGTGCACTCTAAATGGGGTGGGCCATTTGAGCAGGGTAAACTAGCGTGCTTTTTCACCTTCCGGGTTTTGTTCTTCTAAGACCACCACAGCTTACATCTTGAGTACTCTGTTACAAGCTGATGGGAGCTGTTACTGGAGCTAATCCTGTAAACAAAAACAAAAAACCACAAAATTAGTAAAGCGCACACTGAGAAAAACCTTTTGTTCGTAAGCTTACGAACAACGCCTCAAAATCTTTTGTAAGCTACGAAGGTTTTGGTTTGCATTACGAAACTATTGTTTGTAAGCAATTTACAGTGTATGCCCGCGCGAGGCACGGAGTGGCACGCTCCTATCTCAGTTCGGCCAGGAGCTTGATGACATGGTGTTTGACAAGTTTTAGGACCTTCCGCAAAAGAAACTGACACTAAATAGAAAACAGTCCAATTATTAGTGAAAAATTGCCACTCCATGGATTTCTTCCTGTAACTCACTGAGTTAGATCGAAATATGCTTTAGCCGGGATTTTCCAACGACTTTAACTTCCTGAAATTGGCAATTTTCGTCACCGTACAGGTGAGCATTGTAAATTATTTTACCACTCTAAACCGCATCCAAAGAGGAACAGTTATGCTTCAACTCTTTCCTCCCTACACCCAGAAAAATGATTTCTTGTTTCAAGTAGGCTTTGCGACATGCACCATACACCTTCAGGCTTAGGCGTAGGAAGATATTCACACTGCAAAATACTTGCAAAGAATTTTGAAAGATTGTAAGGAAGTTTGCATTACAATCTATTATTTCTTTTACATTGCAAACCTTTTTCTTGGTAAGTTGCGAAAATACGGTTTGCAAGGTTACGAAACAATTCTTTGCAGCGTTACGAACAATTTTCTTCGTAAGGTAGGAAGAATTTGTTTGCAATACGAAGGATTAAGTTCATAATGCAAAGCATTTTACAACGCTTCAAAATTCTTTGCAATGCAAAAAAATAGTTCTTCGCAAGCTTTTCACAGTGCATGCCTGTTCAATCGCACCACCAAAACAGCCTGGGCCCGGAGATACGCGGACGTAACCTGGCGGGGCTCCGTACAGCGTACGCGTACTCGTCCGTCCTGAGCAGCAAGGTCACCACCAAGGGCAAGGTGCGCACCTATGAAGCGTGCATCCGGCCGGTGATCCTCTACGGCGCAGAGTCGTGGACAGACACTGAACAAGGCACGGGAGGCCCGCATCGCCGTCACGGAGAACAACGCCCTGCGGCGGGCGGTGGGGCCGGTCCACGACGAAGAGCAGAACAAGTACGTGTGGCGGAGCAACGAAACGAAGAGTGCAGGCGGGAGACGGAGGTGGTGCCCATCATAAACAAGGCCAGGAAGTCCCGCCTGCAGTACGCTGCCCACTTAGCTCGCGGCTCCACACCTCTAGCGACCTGCGCCATGCTGAACACCACACCGCACCCTCCACGCTCGCGGCCCCGCGGTTCACCAAGCGAACGTCTCTTCGACCAAGTCGCTCAAGACGCCCGCTCCCTCAACATCGCCAACTGGAGGGAGGCAGCGCGGCAGCGAGACGAGAGGCGGGCTTCCAACCGTGTCATCGAAGACCAGCCTGGCCCCTACGAGACAGCGCGGCAGGAGGCGAAGCAACGCAAGCTCGATATGCGATATATGCACTAGGCTAAGAGGGTATGAAATTGGTTGAATCCCTATAAGGAAAATATCTGAATCAACGGTACATACCGTCCGAATTTGGAGCGCAACAGGACGGACATTCTGGAAAGCCTATATCAATGCATGTCCCTTGTGACACATTGGCTCGGCTTTGATGTCTCAATGCCGCTCATCCCATCATGCTGCCCCATGTGTCGCAACTCAGCCAGTAAAGAGTTTAAAGTAATCCACAAGTCCTCGCCCTGTGAGAGATGCAAGTACGGAGCAACAACGGCCATCTTCACCTCTCCGGCTTGCAGAGGTGAGCATCGGGCGGTCCGCCTGGACCGGGATGGTCCGGAAAGCGAGAAGTGCGAGTGAGATGGAGCTCTGGCCGGCTCGAGCGTCTCACTTCCACCCATCGTTTTCGGACCATCCCGGTCCAGGCAGACCGCCCGATGCTCACCTCTGCCGGCTTGCCAATGAGGTATTTTACGAATAAGAAGAACAGGAGGAATCCCGGCCGACGTCTGCTCCCGGACCATAACAAAGCCACGACCAAGCGCACGGTTTGTCGCGTACCTCCGCTAAAACATTGTGCATATGGTGGCCACCCCACGTGAGAACCTTCGTGTTCTTCTACATCCTAGTGGTGCTAGTTCTCCTGTCCGGGTATAAGGAATCACAAACTGTAGTTCTAACATTCCTTAGAACAACGGGTGCACTGCTGTTGGCAACAAATAAGAGTGATGACAATAAACCAAGTGACAAATAGGCATTAGGTGACTAAGCAAGTGGATAAGCCGATCATGCCCCTCAGGCTGGCAATTAATTCATGTAAAATGCTGTGATAATTTTAGTTAAGGTATTTTTTCGACTATTATGGTGAACAAGAACACAATCTGCCAATATCATGTGTGACGTATTGGCTCGGCTTTGATGTCTCAATGCCTCTTATCTCATCATGCTGCCCCATGTGTCGCAACTCAGCCACTGAAGAGTTTGAAGTAATCCACAACTCCTCACCCTGTGAGAGATGCAACATGCAAGTACTTCACCTCCCCGGCTCGCCAACTCGACCACCTTGTAAAAGAACTACTCTCAACCGCCTCGGAGTGCTGAAAAAGTGCTTAGGACCACCTCCAAGAACTACCTCGGCACATTCATCCCATCATTACATTCAAGCAAAGACATACCGTCATGCGGCTGCCCGCCTCAGCACCGTGGCGGAGACCCTTCACCTTAAGAAGACCAAAACTGCAGCCGGTTCGATCACACCACCTACCCATACGATCTGCGGCGCCGCTTCCAGCCCCAGCTGGGCCGCAGCCTGCAGCCCCAGCAGCACCACCGCTCGCAGCCTCAACAACACCACCCCGACCGGGCTCAACCACAACTCTGCAAACCTCCCCCGCCAAGCATCTCCTCGCATCACCCTTACAAGAATGTCTGTGGTCAACAACACTTCAAGGGCACCATGGTGTGTGTCTTTAGTTTCGCCGCCACCAGAATTTTCCGAAGAAAAAATTGCACCACCGTCTTCTCCAGTAAACTTCGTGCAAAATCAGTTGCCGCCTGCTCCAACAGCTTAACATCTCATCACCCCGCCTCCGGGACCAAGCTGGCTACCTATCCCCGTCTACCCATCTACCGAATTTATTGACATAACTAACCTTGTCCCGCTACCTCTTCTCCGTGAACACCAACTTCTCATCTTAGTTTCCATTCAGCTGCTATTTGGTCTCTATAACGCCCATCCCCTTCAGGGAGCTTTTCCCTCTCGCTCTCTCCTTTCCTCCTGCAACCTGTACTGATCTTTAATGTTTACAACGGCGCAATCCAGCACACCAACGCAGATGCGATCTCTGTGGTCCTCCATAACGCACTAAGTGACACCCTCGTAGCCACCGCAACCATCATGGGCATGATGGGGTTGCACACCTGCGTGCCTCCACAGCAAGTGTCCGAGTATCCGATGTGCAGCTGGTGCTGTACATCTCATCTGCACATACTGCACGCATCTTCACCGTGTCGAACATGTGGTTTTGGACCCGACACCTTCCTGGTGACCTCAATGACACCTGACAATCCCGGCACTGCAAACTACATCATTGAGAAACATCACAAAACTAAATATGTATCGCTTTCCCTTTCTTCTTTACCTTTACTTAACCTTGGGGCCGCCCGACAACTATCCAAATCTCTCTAAAAAAGAGAAATACCTCGTATGGATGACAAACTTTTTTCTTTCGCCTGTTGTGCTTATTGAAGATGTGTCCCAACAACTGGTACAGTGCTGAGTGTTGTAAACAGTTTTAGATAAACCGCAGTAAGTACACAAATTTCACTATGAAAATCTGAAAGTTTATGAAATTTGGTTTGGGATAGGCTGCGCTGCGACCCCGGGAGCGCGTTGGAGTGTTAACATTTATAAAATATTTATAAACATGAGCAGGGGTCAGGGGCCGATCGGTGGGCTCGGCTTAGCAATCGTTATTTTTAGTTAAGGTGCCGGTTCGACAACTTATACCTATAAAGCACTTCGCTAATGTGTCTTTTACTTTTTTATCGAAGGCCTGATGCCTGATTGTTTTTTAGGAGCGGCAAGGCGAGTAGTCGAGTAAGCTGAGGACCAACCCAGGAGTTCGGCAGTTAGGAAAGTAGTTACACTTTCCACTGGGTTAGTTGAACTATTTTCAAGTCAAATTTATAGTATTTTAAATATATTGCTTTATTTATCAAAATGGCCTCCTCATCTAACTCTAACTACCACCCTATGAATATGTTTTTTGTAAACTCAGCACCAGTGTGCTGCGCATACGAATTTCTAGAATTTATTTCAAAAGGAATGCCTATAAAAAACTTTGTAACTCATGTAGATTGTAATATAAACACAAAATTCAGGCATTTTTTCAAAGATGTAAGGATGTGCAAAGGACATATCTCCGATATGTGGGTTAACATGCCCTCTAGCCTTATGGTATGGTGTATTGTGAGGTGTGCAACATCCCATGCTATCATTTAAGACAGGACTGTAGCCATGTCTTCGAGGCTTCGAGACCAATACCAAACGACACTCCGTCGTATATGTTTTATAATTATGTATACCATACACAAACAGCAGAAAATCAAATAGCTGTACCAACCACTGCAACTGCCCCTGTGACACCCGAAGGGAGCTCGTCATATATAATTGATGAATCCGAACCGCAGGCGGCTGAAATCGCGGTGGGAAACAGCAGGACATCAATTATAGAAGAAATCGGAGAGGCAGCAACTTCTACAGCCCAGCCGGTGTCCCCCACTCGGAGAGAAACAACAGCTGATCGAGAATTCGGTGACGAGAAAGCTGCGACCAGTTCCGAGCCGCTGTGCGACGCCTAACATCAGATCTGAAGTCAGGATAACCATAGCGGAATCAGGAGACTTTGTGGCAACTAAAATCTGAAAGTTAAGTAACTAAAACATATAAGCAGACTAAGTATAGTAGGAACAGTAAAAGTGCTAGTAGAA